TTATGTAATAGGTCGCCAAACAAGCAGACGGATTACCTGATGGTAGGCAATCAGCGCCGCCCATGGACACCCCTCAACGAAGGAGTTAAAAGTGCGTTGCCAACCTTTTAGGGATTAGGGATTCGAGATTTGGAGATTTAGGGACTGGGGAGGGATTGGGGAAGGGGAAAGGATTGGGCCTCCGGTAACCTCACTCACACGGCGAAACACAACGCTGTGGTTGTTTCACGCCGGTTTTCTGTGAGGCCGTGGTATCGCTCCGGTCGAGCCGACCCATTCGTGCCGAAGCATGGCTCTCCTACACTTGACACTTGAGGTGCGCGTGGAACGCTGCACGCCGTACGCTCGGGTCTGGTTCTGATCAGGCGGCAAGCTATTCTTTCTCACCGTCCACAGACCCGGGCTTGCGGTGGCCAGAAATCGTCTCTGGATCCCCACGTCCGGAGTGACGCCTATTGACGCGACTCGGCCGTCAGGAGGAGGAGGTTAGCTCCCTCACACGATCCACCTCCCTCTTTGCTAGCATTATTGATTCACAGAAAAAGGAGACGGCCCATGGGCACGGCAACAACATAGGAGTTACAAGTACGTTGCCGACCTTTTGGGGATTAGGGATTGGGGGAGGGGAAGGATTGGGTCTCTAGTGACATCACTCTCACGGCGAAACCCAACGCTGTGGTTGTTTCACGCTGGTTTTCTATGAGGCCGTGGTATCACTGATCGAGCCGACCCATTCGTACCGAAGTATTGCTCTCCCATACTTTATGATCATGCTTCATTAAAGAGTATTTTATGCTTGTTAAAAATAGACATAGCTAATTTTTATAAGGTATCCAATCTAACCACCTGGCACCTGTATGTATAATTTATTCTAAAATATATCAGGATGTTTAACATAAATAAATTGATAGCAATAAAACTAAATTAATAATCAAAATCGTTATTGGGCGGTTCTCTATTATTACTATCAACATCATATTACTGGGTTTAGTGTAAGTATAAAGTTAGGTTGGTTCTTAGTTTGATTCTAGTTGATGTCTTGTAGCTCTTACGATGAAGACGTATCCGTCGTTAACTAAAAGGACACCTATTTTTAAATTTTGTATATTATTTCATTGCTCCCTTACTCTTTTTTGCTTCGGCCTACGGCATTATCTACCAGTTTGACCTATGTAAATTCATGAAATTTAATACAATACTTACATTAACAAAATCTATAATTTTAAAGTAGTTTTTCTTTTGTTCTGTTACTATTGTCCCTTGCTATATTTTAGCCTCTATCGCTAAAATTACAAAGAAGTAAAAGGTCATAAGTCTAACAAGACAAATCTTGGAACTTCATGCTTACTTAAACTAGTCACAACAAACAAAGTAAATGATAATTCAGTAATGAGTATAATGTACGTACATTAGAGGTTAGGCCACCGCCACCGTGTAGCTTGCAACACTTCGGAAGCCGAGCACCGAACCGTAGCCACGTGCGTTCTGTGAAGGCCATATGTACTAGGTTACTGTAAATTTGGTAGAAAAAGACAAAACTGATTTTTTTCAGTAGTAACATCTGCACATTCTCTCTCTCACACACATACGTTAACACCTAACACACGCACACAAGACATCCTTAACGCTACACAAGTTATGATAAATATAATATAGGTATCAACACATTTCCTTTTTTTTTTATTTAATACTGCACTTTATTAATAATGTCTGAACATGTTACAGGTTTTTTCTACATAAATGATTCTAATTTTTATTTCTATTGTACCTATCTATAGCGCCGCACATTGCCCTGCTATATAATGGGGCTATTCTTCCCAAGGAAGGAGGGTATAGAAAAGGCAGGGTGACCCATGCCGGGCAGGTTGGTTGGAGAACTTGGAGATGGAAGTTAAAAAAGTGTTATAAGAGGGCGCTGATGAAAGGTTTCTAGTAAGCAAGAGTTTTGTACAAAATTATAAAACTTGTCTTAATTACTTACAATCTTGTGATTTGTCAACGCCATCTATATTTTTTGTAGTGAACTAAGATAACAAGAACCTTTTAGAAAGAACAAAATATTAAGTGTTTGATAAATGCTTTGGTTTCAATTAATACTCATTCGTCTACATAAAATATATTAAGCTTTGAAAATGTATGTTAAATGCTAATCGAAAATAAATATAAGATCAGAAATAAAAAAAAAAAAAAAGGTTTAAAAGTTGTGATTAGTGACATCTATATTTTACGTTGTAAACTGAAAGTAAAGTTGTAGTACATAAAAACATATACAGATGTCGCAACTGTATGCTGCAAGTGCTACCACCTAGTGTCGAGTAGAACAACTAAAATTTCACCTTTTACTTATTCATTATATTCTAGATGGCGCTGTACAATAAATATTAAAATTTTCTTATTTAGAAGAGAACGAAGTTTTATAATTCTGGAAATAAGTAATAGAAATATCAAAATTCATTTTTTATGTATATTTAGTGGTAAAATAAGCATGGTAGACTGAGACTAGTTAATTTCATCATAATTACGGATTGCATCTATTAATAAAGATGTACTCCTACCATAAATTTAATAATTATTAGTATTTGCTTATTGTAAGTAGTACAAGACCATTTATGTGTCTGTATGTTAAATGTTTTATCTATATATCATACTTATTGAGAATGTTATCAGTAACTTGTTTAGTGTTTACCTAGGTGGTATACATAAAATTACATACAAGTAATATTAACTTATATTTTGTCAAATGACAGGTACTCTCTATGAAATAGGCAATTGTCAATATTGTAAAACATTTTCTTTATAGTACAAGGCAAAAAATTTAATTCGATCAAGAGAAGTTACGGTTATTCAATATACTTAACCAGGGAATTCAATAAATTAATAAATATCTCTAATTCAAATAAGTTTATTAATGAATATTGGAAAATCACCACAAATGTTATGAAGGATATACTTCTCTGTCGATTAGATTACCTGCTATTATTTAGATTATCAACGTATTGGCCTAAGTGTAAATTCTATGATATGTGATGTATATTATTCAATTGCCTACTTTAGACCAATAAAATACTTATAGGTTCATATTAGGTACCTATTAAGTGATTGTTCCCAAGGTTCCAGAAGAGGAATCTTTACCTTAGACAGATTTCATTTGTCGGGCTTTCCCCTTCTAGGTTAGGGTCGAGACGACATTGACTGCATTTTTTTTCTGATAGATCCTACTATTGCTTATGTCATACGGTGACACACCTACTTTTCAGCCAGGCTTGGGGGTCCAGTGCAATAAACATAAAAAGCAGAAAACACTTAAAGATATAAACTCTCTCCATAAAAAATCCTTACTCCTAGTATTACGTTAGATAAGACAGAAACCGGGTACTAACATCTTCTTATACAGGCGAATGTCATAGCTGCGATGTCCAAACTTCAGCCCAAGAGATTATTATAACTACACAATCCCTCTCATGTGGAAGTGTCACAGGCAGTTTAGTTAATGTGGGCAGTATTAAGTATTTAAACACTTTATATAAACTTGAATTTACCGCTGGCAGCTGACAAGTTCTGCATCTACTTATCTAAAAGCTTCTCACCAAATATGGTCTTCAAAAATGCATGTCTCGTAAATTCTTGAAAACATTTAAGCAAATACCTGAATGATTAGATAGGAGTTATTAGCTTATAACTACATAATTTACTTGTACACTTTAGACTATTAGCAAAGGTTACGTCTAATATATTTAGCGGTAGGTTTTAGGTACTGAAAGTGATTAGGACCTTCTTAGTTATGTAAAATTATGTACTTTGGTATTTGTTTTGCAGGAATTTGTAAATAAATATATATCTGAAGCCAGTAAAATAAAGTCTGTGATATTAATTCTAATTTTAGATATGCCTTCGTTTTAAACATAAGTACGTAAGTTTAGTTGTTGTTTTGTTCTCTTCACATACCTATATTTATAATATCTTTTGCTGTGCCCTACAGGGACCAGGATGGTTACCTATCAAAAAATGTTACTATGTTGCCTACATTGTGAAATGCAATAAAGAATTGAGTATTTAGTATGTTGTTATGTCCGTATAAACAGGATGAATCGCTAATTTAAAAAAGTTAAAAATTTTAAACTTCGCCATTACTGTCGTCAGGTCACGACAATCCACTTCCACTAAGCAAGGAGGACTCAATAAGGAAGGCAGTCTCTCCCAGTTTCAAACTTTGGGTGATGAAGAGAGGAGAAAACGGTGCTCTGCTAACTCGAGGAGCAACCATGAATCTATCATGAAATGCTACAGTATGAAGCATTTGGAAATTAAATTATTTAGACTGAGTTATAAATCTTGTACCTTGTGTCCTTATAGTTGTACCGGATCAAATTTTCCGAAATTACAGAAACGCTGTCATTTCTGTTAAAGATTAATGAAATGTTCTATCTGAGAGCGATATCGGCCGTCGGGAGCTGTATTGGCTGTAACTCAGCTTTTTGCTTGCACTTGACAAAATATAAATTTTCTATCTACATCATCTTTACTACTTTATCTACATCAACTTTAATATACCCATGTATTATATCTACATATTTATATTGTTTGATTTCCAATTTCAATATTCAACATTATGTTGAAATAGATGGAGTAGATTTTCAATTTCATTTTATTTGTAAGAAGGTTTGTACTTAGGTAAAACAGCTCGTAACTATATTTGAAGATTAGATTACGTGCACATTAAATCAAATTACTTCAAAATTAATGAGATCTTTATAATTTATGGAAACTTCTTGTTAATAGTATTATACATATTGCGTAAGACATGTTGTGTAGAATATTTAATTAATGTGTGCCTGAGCCTAGACATGTCTGGTAAGTATTTCTGTCTATATACGTGTATATGTAGGTATGTGTATATGTTTATATTTCCTCAGATCGTGTGCAAAGGGGAAAGTCGATGAAGTAAACACAAGCTTACGTGATTGAATCCATTTATTTCATTTTATTATTTATATCATGTACTTATATTTGACATTTAGTAACAAAAATTTGCATTGGAAAATTATGCAATTCGTATATAAAACATAGGTAATATTCACATGGTATTCAGTTCATTAATTCACTAACATCTAACGGCACATTTCTATACAAACTTATGTATAACTTACTCATTACATAAATAAGCAACTTACTATATAAGGCTAAAAGTCTTTCTTGGCTAAAACGGCATGTTTTGCCTGCTAATAATACTCGAGATATAAAAAGAGAAATATTAAGTCAATTTCAGTTAATACACAGCATAGAAATCAGATTCTATTTCAGCATAGAAATATAGAGATTATTAGTATAAATTAAATAAATACTGACGGTTAAATTCCAATAAATTAAGATCAACTTAATATTAATAAAGTTTCGTCGTAACGTGAAACAGAAAATAATATAACAGTTAAGTACAAAGGAACTGAACAGAAAGGCTTACAAACTAAAAACTTTCAATAAATTAATGATTAATATCTACAGAATACTAAATATCACAGAGAAAGTACCCAATACTTAATCAACAATACAATGTTTCGTCAAGCACTTCGAATACGACCAACGACTGGCGTGTTAGAGAGCGTGCGCTTGCGGACCTACCAATAAATAAGTACAACAGGGACTACATCAATTGTAATTTAAATAAATAATTAGTCGAAGCGAATATTATTTTAAGTCACAACAATCAACTAATTCGTTCATCTTTCAGTGTTCTTATTTCTTTTATCTTTCTTTTCTTTTAGTTTGGCCTCGTAGGCGGCGCATCTGCTGTTATTCGTGATGACTTTCTTGCCCCGGGGACACCTGAATTCGAAGTACCAGTTGTTGAGAAGGTTGCCGTACGCTCTGAACGCAATGTAGTCGTTCTTCAAGCACTGAGGCGCATCAACCTTCATTTCTAAAACTTGTAAGTTCTTGTTTTTGCTAACTTGAGGCACTGGTATATCAACAGACACCATATTCTCCCTGACTTCGGCTATAGTACTGTATAATCTCTGAAGAGTTTTTCCTATTAGTTCGTGGCGGGTCTTGTTGTACGAGCAGAAAGGATCGTCGGCGAATTCAACTTCTACTTTGATGAGCAGTTTGAAGATTTCTTGGTACTCTACAAGGGATTTGTAAAGTTTTGGCATCAGGTACGCAAACTGTAACAAAAAGAAACAAGTAATTAGTACATTGATCGAGAAGGAACTGTAGCATTGTTAATGACGAATGCTAATGGCTTAGATAATTGGAATTTACAAATGATAGTAATGAATGAAATCCCTGATACAACGGTCATTAATAATGCGCTCATTGTTTGTTACGTTTATACCCAAACGTAATTGTGTTTACGTCACAATGGCGACGTAATGAAGGTTGGACATTTTATCGGAAAGTGGGTTTATCTATTCTGATGCAAAACTATTAGAAAAAAACATTCAGTTTTTTATCTTAATAGATTTATAAGAGGTATCAATATTGACCCTTGAGGTACTACATGGCTGTTAAGTTTTCCCAAGAGTTTTAATGATCATGTAATGCAAATGTAAAGGAAATTAAATACGCAAGTAAATTTATAGGAACATTAAGACTTTTACAGTTGTATAACTGTCTATTAAAAGGGTCAGAGTGCGAAGAAGCTTATGTGTGAATTAAGCGCGTCACATCGAGGATAGTTTACGTCGTAGCATATTCGTGTCGAGGCTACAGCGCCGTGGGCATTTGTGATCGGTATGACTATTCAAATGATGCTATTAACACTACAATCATATTACATGTGTTTGTGTTTCAATAGCGTATTGATGAAATTTTACGAAACAATTCGTTTTAATGACACTTTCTCGTCCATTATCTATTATACGCGGCACGACTCTATCCTCATCTTCATAACTTGATGCCAGGAACGCATCGCCATGTTCTTTATTACGAAACAATGCAAAAGTGTAAAGTACTGCTGGAACTGTGATTTGTAATTCAAAGTTGGCTGTTATCCTTTAGGAATAATGTTCAATTATTAATCGTAAAGTTTTCATGACAATTTCGTTTTTAAATGAACCGATTATTTTAAAAGGACGATTACAAGAGCTCCAATGTAATTTCATATACTAAACTTGCGACCGAATTGGATTTATACGACTTCATATTGTCAATATTCTTATAAGATTGTGGTTACAAACAATGGCGTTCTTAAGCTTTGCATTAAGAATTTATTTTGAGATGCAATAAATCAAGTAATTGTATGTGTGTTGCTTTATATAATTACGTAAAGAATTGTAATAGACAAAGTACTTGTAGTTGAATGACATAATCGAGTTGCTACATGGTTGTCATAGTTTATTGGCAAAGGTTGGAATTCTAGATTATTATAATAATATTTACATTATTCGTATCATTGATTTGTACAAATATTCAAATAATCGTAACTATAAATTTGATTCTAAGTACTTTAGACGTTTTGTATTAATTAGTTCTTGATTTCTTTGGTTGTTTAGAGTTTGCTTGAAGAAGCTTCGGGCAAGTAGTTCAGTGTCACATACCATTGGTTGTGGGCGTAGCTGAGCCACGCAGTTATCAATGTCCAGCCTTTATCAAGAGCATGCATCAACATTTTCTACTCCATTTATTTCTTAAGCCATTATATCATGTGCTATAACTGTATTAATATTTTAGTCTCCGCTTTTAAAATTAGTCATAATAATAAAAATAGTTTTTATTTCGTCTTTTTTGTTTTTTAGATCTGTGTAATAACCAGTATTAACTTTTACTTTATCGCTTATATCATCTGTGTATTTATTTCCTTGTTTTTTTTGTTGTTCTATCACTGAAGCTCATCACGTGTCTTTATAGACAATGATGCGTTTACAACGACCTGTCTATAAGAGTACCTGACTAGCCGGTTAACCTCGATACTTGTAATAGATCGGTTATTATTGTCCTTTAAAAATGTTGTATATTATTCTGTCTGTATATCTATAGCGGCTTTCATTTATGTTTCGTTATTAAAATAAATGATTTTAATTTTTTATTCAATTGCATCTTCTATGATTACGAGTTTTAGTACAAAGTGTACAATAATTTATTCCATGTCATATTTTAAATTAATTTTAATCATCTGCCACTTTTCATTCGGCCATTCCGTTCATGACGTCACCATAGAAACGTACTTTGTCAAAATGATTTTGGGATCCAATTCCCAATTAATGCATTGATACTATTTTGTTATTTACTATGTTCTTATACCTAATTCATTTCCATTTATTTATTCTGAATATAACGTTAAACTAATATGACTAACATTAGCGTGCGATTCTTCCTGCTTCCACTTAGCGGCTAATGAATGAACTCATCTCATCACTCATTGTTCCAGGAACATGAACCTGAGACGTTCGGCTTTTGTTTGTGTCGATTCGTATGTCACCAGCTTCCTCTACTAAAGTACCCAGTGAATGAATGAGTGATTCATATCACCAGCTGTCTAGCCAATATTTTAACATATTGTTTTAATTTGGATAGTCTGTAGTGTATAATTTTGTGTCTGGCTCTCGAATAGAGACAGGAAATACCAAATTCAAATTCTATTATTATTACACTCGTGAACACCACATATGCAATATTATGAAACCTAAAGATCCTCGTATACAGACTTTATTTAATCCCCCGAGTTATTAGAAGGCAATAAACAATCGATTCTAAAATTAATCGTTAATATTTTACGGTTCATAAAAGCATTGAGTACATGTCGTTGCGTTTTCCCAACTATTGTGAAGGTGCGACGCCGAAGAAATTGCCGGAGCGAACGATAATAAAAGCGTCGGGCTGTGTGAGCAAATATGGTCGTGTATTAAAAGCCTGAAAACCCGACAATAAGCCGTACATTTGCCTTAAAGAGGCGAGCTTAACCTCCGAGACGTGTCGCAGACAAATGCGCCACTCCGGAATCGTAAGTTCACATTCGTCTCACTTGGACAAATAATGTGTTTTTAACATTTCGTGTTGTTTTGTTAAATCGTAAATACTGTACAAACACTAGCTCGGAGCGACCGCTAAACCTCGGCCCCTTGTCACTGTGAAAGCGCACCGTGTTCCAACTTGTGGAATTTCTGCCCTTTATTCAAACACTGAAAATACCGGCCGCACCGTGACTCGCACAATTTTGTGAAAACAAATCCACTACAAATTAAAAGTATCCTTCGGAATTATCCAGAGAACTCTTCACTCAAAAGCTTTAGCGTGGATACTCGAGGGCCCGATAAATTAAACCAACATGAATATTGTGTGTCCACATTATTCTTTCTTCGGGCCCTCTATTTTAACGTCTCATTTGAGCAGTATTTAATTTTTAAATTGTTCGTATGTCAACTAAAGCCGGAGCGAAGATCACTTGAATTCTAACGCTTTCCTTTGCCCAATGTCAAATATTTAAATTTCTTAAGTGGCCGTACATTGACTGGCTGGCGAGACATAGGTAAGAAATATTTAATATTCATCGGTTGGTGCACTGGTCGTCTGCGGGCCGCTATGTTAGGAAATTATTTGGTCTCCGAGACGCAGTCGCGGCCGGCGTCGAGTGTGTAAGGACATGTGACGCTCCGAATGCACACACACTTATTGTCTCGCGTCGCATTAACTTTTGTGTACTAATTAGTGGGTGACCAATATGAATACATAACAGAAAGTCTCGAACTCCAGATGTGTGTTCGGTAAATAATAAAGAGAGGCTTATAGAAGGCTCGTTAAATATTGCTTGTGTGTTTATATTTTTACGAACCGAAACCGGTACGGGCAACCGATGAACTGAATACAATTTTTATCATAATTATAAGGTGTTCGGCTAAGATACCTACGTGTAGGATGCGTGTTGAGCCATGGTTTTAGGATCGCGTGTGCGGAGCGAAATCATGCGGTGTCAATCTATGCAAATTTCCTTGAAACATTTAACTGGCTCCTTAGTTTGCTCTGCTCCCACAAGCGCTAACCATAAGCCTCTGATTTATATATCGCCAGTATTAAATGAGCCCCTAGCTGCAGACGAACATATTATTTAAGAATACAAGTGAACCAATGATTGGGGGTCAAGTTTTGTTGGTAATGAATTGTGGGCGGCGTCATCTTTTTTCGAAGCCATCATCTAGATTAGGGAGTGATAATTTTATTTGGTGTGCGCTTCGTGATGTTTTAATTTACTGCTAATTAATTCAAAATAATTAATTGTTTGTTTGGAGGTATATGTTTTATAATTTAATAAACTTTTACAATAATTTTGATGATTGAGTGACTCTTACTCGACGATCAAAGTTTTATAAAGCATTAAAAGTTACAGCGATTTTCAAACAAGAGCGGCTTTTAAAATTAAGGGCTTGCACATCTAGTTATTGCCCTTAAGTACAATGTGAAGTAAATAAACGCGGTACAAAGACCGACCACATGTAATTTGGATCGTCGGAACCTCATTTAAGTTGCAACGGTGAAGCCTCGAGCACGGCTAATGTACCCGGGGATCCTTTGTCTCAAATAAAGCAAAAATAAATTAAAAATAATGTAAAAACATTGAACGGGCAAAGAGAGTGATGGGCTGGACCACCACACCCACGACGCGAGTGATCGCCCGTAATAATTACACTGTCAGTTGCACAAAAATTACATCAAACATAACTTATTGCGAACAGTAACAGTTTGAATCACATTCCCCAAAGGTGACAAGATTTTCTAATTTAGAGTTTTGGCTTGATCCGTACCCGTGCTAACGTGCTAAAACTTGTCGATAATTCAATGAGGTCATTCGTTAAATAGAAGCAGAAACAATCTTATCTACACTATTCGATATTTCTTACATCATAAATGTCTATACGTTGATATATGTGATTATTATGATACTTTAAACCTATTAATATAATGATAGACTGCTTTCAAACTTGTGTTACTGTCAAGGCAAAAACTTAAGGTATATAATTAATCAGTGCAAAAAGATACTCACTTTGCGTTCAGAGATGGTCGCGCCACGTTTTTTGTAGTTGTAGAAGTGAATACCAACGAAGTTGATGGTGGGCAGCCAGTCGGGCATGCCGTCCCTGTACTCCCGCGTCTCGTTGAGGACTCTTCGCTCCTCGTTGAAGAACCTCCTCGTGTTCTTTAATTTTTTTGTTATCTTTTTCGTTGCAGTTTTGAAGCGATCTGATTGGACGTTTTTCTGTAGTCGCATTAACTCTGTGTCTTTGGTTTGAGGCAGGACGGTTTGCTTCCTATGCGGCCGTCTCCTGTGCTCCATCACGCGGCTGTCTGGCTTCATCCTCAAGTCTTTGGTTGGTGCTAACGCCTCATGCTGCCGCCTCTCATGCCTAATTTTGTGTTCCAACGTCCGCGCTTCGGATGGCATCACAATCATTGCTATTACTACTAGTACTGTTGTAGCTACCAAAAGCTTTTTGGGAAAACCTGAAACAAAAACATAAATTGTTACCATCACAATACTCAATATAATAACTTGTGTAATCTTTATTGCAATTTTATCGATATTATCTTTGCAATTGTTATGAAAATAATCGATAAAGGGACATAACATATTTTCAATCAGACGCTGTTTGCGACTTGCTCACGTTCCGAGTCTGTTCGGATTTTGTAAAAGATTCCTTGAATTTGTTGCATAATTTGGAAAGACGTGCATGTTGCACGTTGAGGAACAAATTCTGTGGGATTTTTGACTTCAGAACTGTTTCCGTGGGTCACATAAAAAATAATAAGGTGCGTGATTATGTTAACGTTGCTACATACACGTTTGTACGATCTTCATCTCCGAGCACTTTCACACCGACCATTAGCCCGGGGTGGGATGCGTGAGGTGGACATGATTTTTGTAATCAATTTCGGCTTGTGGGAAATTTACTGATTTTAGTGCCAACTCAATATGACTTGTCCAAACGACAATTTAATTATCTGTATATGACGTTGAATACTTTAAATCGATGTTCTATTTTAATTGTCAAATAAAATGAGTCACTAATGACTAACCAGAAGTGAATTAAAATTACTTTTCACAAGATTATGTGTGACATAATTATTTTGACGTCATGCACATAAGCAGAAAGCGCCACGCCCATTGTTAATGTTATTGCACAAATATACATATGTTTCGCCTTGTTCGATTTAACGTTGGCAGTTATTGAAGGTTTTGATGTTTCGCGCCGACGCCATAAAATATATTTTATGTCCCAAGCAATTCTGTTGAGGCGATGTTTTCAAACTTTTAAAAGGAAGCACCACCGGCTTTGAAAGCGCAGCTTTGTTCAGCCGGAGTGCTAAAACATAGAAAGTACTTGTTGCAGTTTTTATTAGATACGTCGTGTATACCTATACATATACGAGTATGTCCTCAAAGAAAATATTCCGACCTTAAGTAGGCAAAATAAGTGCAGTGGTATTTTTTGAGAAATAAAAATGAAATGTTAAATGTAACATTTCATTACTATTGTCTATTTATTTGTATGTTTTGTTACACGTGTGCTCAGAAACCCGTGACCACAATAAGATTGATGGTGCGGTCACTTATAGTTAATATATGAGTCCCGTGTGGATTTTCAGAAAAGCAAATCAAACAAATTACGTCTATTATCACATCGACTGAATGTTACAGTGAGTTTACACTTTAGTATTACGTCACATGAGGATAAACCGAGGTTTATGGGCAGTGAATCATTAGGTCAATTCGTGTCGTTGACAATATAATGTATGTTAAGTAAATACAGCGTAACGTGTCCATATGATAAAAAAATCGAGTAAAAACTTGACACTCTGTGTTGTGATGGTTTTGCTGTGTTACAATTATTTTAGTCTGTGACCATTGTGAGTGGTCAGTAGCGTCTACATTGACGAGATCATCAAACAATGCAAACGTATATAATTGTTACCGCGAAAACCGGGTACGGACTGTTACTTTTCCACCGCGGGTTTTCCCAACAGTTGCTGATCTAGACAATCATTTATATCCGAATAAATATGTGTAAGTGTATAAATAACACATAACCACATAATGTTTTATAGTTCTTAAACCGATATTAATAAAAAGAAAAAAGTCTTTTAGTAAAAAGTTTTTATTTTAATGACTGACTGATGTCCATAAATGATTTATTATATTCAAAACAAAACAAAGTCCTTAGGTAACCTAACGTAATATTAGTTCATAGCAATTTTAATAATTTACGATTCGTAATTTGGATACTTGTGTAGGGATTAACTATTATTACTGTTTACAAAATTTTGTGTTATTAACTTTGTTGTAACACGATACGGCTTTAGATAAATTAAACAATTATCGATGTTAAAAACAAAGTGGAGTATTAGGTACACAGAAAGCAAAGCTTGTCTGTATCGGATGACATCGCGAGCGTGTTTCAGCGAAGAAACCCTTTGATCGATTGCCGACGGCCGATTGTTGAACATTCTCACACGATCCGAGCACCGCATTCGATTCTTATTCGATACTTTGTGCTTCCAAAAATGATCGACGAATTAGCTTCGATAACGATTTTTAAACTGCATTTACTCATGTCTCGTTGCATCTCATGTGAATCAACATTTGAGTACAAACATATGTTTATTTTTAAGGAAGTTACGTATGCTTAAGCACTAGTGATATAATTATAGTTTATTTATTTTTACAACACTCTTTATAAATACAATTCCGCATTATTTTAATCCATGTAATTAGTATAAGTTTACCGTCCTATAAATTATCGCGATATTACGATATCAAGGAAATGAAATCGTTATTGCCCATAATTTGATCGGCATATTTGAATAATCTCCTTTTAATGTTTACTTTTTTAATGTCGTAAATAAAATAAATAATTAAGAGCGGAGGAAAATCTTAACTCAATAAATCTGTGTAGACGGTAATACGATAGCTTTATTAGTCTGCGTTTATTTAAGCTTACCCACAAAATGATTGTCAATTGTTTACATTCGACGCGCGAATGGGCCGCACACTTGAGTTCGTCAAACAAATAATTAATACGAGGTAGGCGTTAAAGCTTTGAATTAAAATTAGAATATAAACACACACCAGTTAAAAAGACATCCATGAACAACGCATTGATGTAGCTCCTTTGGGCAAGTCCATGTTCATGCGAACAAAATATTCCCGATAAACGAAATGTCGGAAAATGATATAAAAACTTTCCAACCGAACTAATTGTCACTGGTCGCAGGAACGAAACACTCGCGAACTGTCAACACTCCAAAAAAAAAAAACACAATTTTCGAATTTGGAAGTCACTAGTGTTGTATGAATATTAGCACTGGATTTATAAATGTTGTGTTGTCGAGCGTGTGTCACCGTAGTGGTGCGAGCTGCGAGTGTGCGAGACCGGCGCGCGAGCAGCCTCCGCTCGTTGAATGGGCACCGAAATGCGGCACCGTACGTCAAATAGCCGGTCAAACACTATGCGAAATCCCTTACCCGCCCGCCGGAAAGTGAACTTCGACCTTCGCGGAGACTTCCATACACCTAAAACTTTTTTAAACTTGTTCTAACATTATTTTTCATATGACAAAAATTGTTACCCATTTAAATCACAACTTTCATCATTACTAATATTTGATAACATCATTCAATTACATGAAGTTGCGAAATTAACGTATTTCTATTATCTATTTCATTATCGGGCAAACTAGAAATTTTAGTCTCGTTATCGATCCTCATTTAATGAATTGGTTAGTCATCATAATGATGCATTCCAACGGTTTTTTACAAACCTAAATTGTAACAAGGAGTGTTATCAATTATTGTTATGGAATATAAAATATAGAAATATGGTATAAAAATAATCTTAAATAATGGTGCGTCTCCATGGACGTCTGTTTCCACATCTTGTGCAAGTGAACATTTATTCGGTTAGACCTCGCTGGTGAATCATCGATGAGTCTAACCTAAAGTAAGTTTTTATCGGGCATTAGTCGCGCACCGACACAGCACTAAACCCTTGGCAATCTAATTATTTATATCAAATACACGCGACTATTAGGTACTCGAAATTATTACAGCCATTGTTTTTAAGATTATTGCGTAGGTGTAATAAAATAATCTAAGTCAATCAGTACTTTATAGGTACTTCCCGATGCGACAGTAAGACATTGTTAGCGACTATCCTATTAAACTGATAGTTAATAGCTACAATAACGAGTTTATGTAAATTAGCGCCTAGATTTAGAGGTTGTTTGATTTATAAACAACTTTCATTTTCTTTTTTACTTGTCAATGACTGGTCATCATGAGAAATAAGTGAAAGAGTCCAAGGACTACAGAAGAAAGTAAACTGTGAGTAAAAAGTGTGCCAAGTCTGGGAAAGAAGCTGACATAGATGGTGGACCTACGTGCGTCTTCGGTCAAACAAATCCTTCGGCTAAGATAAGAAATCTTCCTCAAATCTTGTTGATGTACTGGTCGTTCTAAAATGTGTTCGTGGGTGATTTTCTTAGCATGTTGCCTGCGGTTTAGAGATGAGCGAGCGTCTCAATGTTTACATTGACACGTTTTTTGTTTCGTGGTTGGTTAACAAGGCGATGCCATTGTACCTCTCCTTAGTGATAGTGTCAATATTTCATCGTTAGTGATATGTAATTTATTTTTAGAACAATAATTTATTTTTAGTTTTGATCAAAAATGTAAATGTTTTTTTGAAATATTATTATTCGAAAGAAAGAAATAAAATATGATTACACAAGTTTCAGCTCAGTGACGTGATTTATGTAAAGACTACGTCACTATTACTAGCGCGAAGGCCGACTGACCTAGTTAGCGCTTACAATTTTTCTCCCATCAATACAAAGGAGTTTCCCATCGTGATCGTTTCCGATTACTGACATAATAACATGACTTACATTTATTACACGATTAGCGTTTTTATGTATAGATACTCTATAATGGAAATAGGCTTTTCCGGCGCTTGTCTCGCGAATGACTCACGGATTTCCCGAATTTTTCGCAACAGTAATTTCGTTCGCGATGTTGGCGGCCTCCTGAAAGCCCACAAGACCGTGTCGCATGAGCTCACCATTACTCACTCCCCATAGAAAGTCGTTGGATCCGTGTAATATAAAACGATTCGTCATGTCGCAAATATTGAAATTTAAGTGCCACACATTGATATATATTTACTTATAAATACATTTTTTAGTTTTGTATTTCGTTTTCAGATTCCATTATTTATGTGATACCTGACCATTAAACAATTGATGTAAAAATTACTTAAAAAATGTCTGTATGTTTGTAAGACGTAAGATAGGAAAGTGCTATAGAGATTGTCAGTAAGTTTTCACGATTCGTGAGTGTTGACCGTGAAGTGTTGTGACGTTTTGTTTCGTAGTCGGAACCATAATATATGTTTGTAAATATGAGCGTTATGTAGATGGGTTTCGTAAAATATATAACGGGCAGAGTAACGTGTGCTCGCTAGTAGTGAATATATTTAACTTCTAATACTACTACGTTGATATGTTGCACGTTGTTTTAAGCAAATATTATCCATCCATCCTTCAGTCGCGGCGTCCGTAACGTCTCTTATGATGATTTGTTTCTCTTTTAAAAAAGTGTGGCTCTAAAATTACTGATAAAAGGTTTGCTACTGCCGCATAAATTGCTTTTTTGTTGAAATCTAAAGTGCTCTGCTATGATACTGACCTGAATAGAGGCGGATGCAAATTATGATAGTTAATTATTCTTGAAGATCAAGTTCGGTGGTTAGATAAAGGAAGGATTAATATTATTTATAGCTGTGCTCGTGGTGTCTAGAAGACTTTGTTGCTGTGTGCGTTATTATATCGGATGTATACGCATAGCAGATAATCCACCGTAAAATTCCTTTACCAACATAGTTTCAGCAGCTAATTTAAGTTTACCGTAAACTTAAAGACTAGCTTCCGCGACAGAGTCCGCCTGCGGCCGCCTAGACATTGCCAATACGCGAAATGGCATTGTTTGCGAGCCACAATATAAATCACGCGTTGTGTGTACAATTCGAAAGCTTTTACACATTGTGCACGTACCCTTAACCCCTTTCATGACACAGACTAAAATAAATTCTCAATAGGCGGCTCACGAATGTTCGGTATGTGAGTGACGCGGAAGGAAATGTCTCATACTGTGTCCTCAAAATTGGATATCGCATTTTAGTGTATAAGAAAAGTGTTGATATAGGTATAGATAAGTGTTAATGCAGTCCTTGACAGGTTTAAGGTTGTGTATAATTCATAGCTAATAACTATTAAGTGTTGTGCTTGAACGGGAATCGAATAAACGGGAGATTTAGTATCAATATACGTTTTATCGACATTAAACATTTGAATGACAGCCAGATGGCAGCTTTAGTTTATCGATGAGTGTAATTGATACTATAGAAGAAGCTCTTTTACCTTGATAACTAATATTTATTTTGATTTTACAGTCGCTTTCCATTTGAACGCACTTTTTCACTAATTGTTGTCGAATGACTAATATTGGATTGAGGTTACCGATTTATTTATCTATGAAGTCAAAATTATATAACCCGATTATTTAGTGTTATTCAGATCGTTTAGCATATAACTTTAATAATAGTGATTTTATCTACAAAACATTTCTGACCTCATTTTGTTTTTTGTTTATTTTTCGAATACTGGTAAATACGTTCGATGTTTAAATTAGATTCGTATATCGAACAGTTGATTATTTTTGCTTATTTACACACTATAAGTGTTGAGATGGATTAAAAAATAGAAATAATTAGAATTATAAAAAATATTACTTCCTTCAATATAGTATACTCAAGTTTCGGAAGCAGCAAATACTGTATAAATATTTTATCACCACTGTTGATGACTCTTTACGATTAGTTCATCATTAGAGTCGTCCTACATAAGGGTAAGATCGTTGATACTTTCTATTGCTAAAAGTTTTCACCACAGCATAAATTAATCGACTATCGAGTACGCGCTATGACATTTGTTAATAGCCTTTATCGATCAATAAATTAATCAACATTGTATATACCTTTACAATTTGATAAGAAATAATATTGAAAACAAAACAGATACTTACTATATCTTAAAGTATATCCTTGTCTCCTTGAGGAACATCCGTTGCAGCAACAAGTGCACATATCGATCATTTTTATATTAATCGATTTATCACAGATCATAATAAAAATAAAATCTTTGGCATAAACTGTCACAACAACTGTCACTTATGAAAAAAAAGTTCACTGTCACTTCACAATTTTAAATTTGGAACAGGTGTAATACACGTGCGTATTCTGTTTATTGTATTTAATTTATGTGATTAACGGACGTCGTGTTCGAGTCGAGTTCAGGACGATCTCGCGAGCGGATACGTTCAGTTCGCCGCGTTACGTGTAATGTGTGTCCTGAACGGATTTCCACGGCTTTTATGTGGCCGGTCGGCGCTCCCGTGATAAAGGGTGCAAAAAACCGATTGTTTAATTTAGAGGGCCCGGCATGCGCCATTACGTCACGGATACGACGTCGTACGCGATTGGGACGTAAACTCGCACATGCTCTTACGCAATAGCTTGTTCAAATAAATACATGTGGCAACAACCGGATCCTGAAGGTATGTGAAAATGCGTTCCTGGCCGCTGTTTACGTGATTCTTGTCGCATTTGACGATTTGGGTCTAGGTATATTGTGATTATAATTTATTAAAATTGATTGTATATTAATTTGGCCATTAAACGTGTTTCTATGTCAGTTTTGATAAGGATGTAGTTACGATAAGGATGATTTTTGATTACACGGATATAGGGACTTATTGTTTAATTGTATGTTATTGCGATTAAGGTAATTAAAGACTTAATAAAGATTTATTTGTAGATAGTTTACGTTTATAATTTATTTATAATGATAATATGAAATTTATGTTAAAAAAGAAAATAATAAATAAACACAATTTTATACGATAATTATATTAGCACTTAATAACATATTTTTTGATATCTAGATGAAATATTTTAATTTAAGTAGAAATAATATACATGGAAAATATTTTGTACTTTTTTTTTATAACACGATTACATCATTATATAAGTAAGTAAAAAAGAAATTTGAAGTGAAGTCATTTAATTTCAGTTATGTAATAATACAAGTAAATAACTTAAACGTAACTTAAGCTAGAGTGCGTGCCACACACACACACACGATACATCATTTAATTGCATTGCTCTAGCAGAGTCCTTAGGAGTTTATTTTTAAAATTCCATTTCGGCCATATTAGAAATGCGTTTAAATTTCAGCGGGGGTGTTGCTCCACCATCCCGCCTCCGGCTGAGTCCGCCTCTCGGCCTCATTCCCGAAATAGTCCCATTCGATTGGTCGCTCAGAATAATATCTTCACCTATTACATGCACTCGCTTAAACTTACACTCGATAATGCCAGTACTTGCAAGTCACGTGGTCAGGCGAGTTCTGCTTTTTGTTCCAGAATACTACCGTAATTACATTCGTGTTCACTCAACAACTCTTACATTTGTTCAATTTCATACTCAATTCAATTTCGTACTAGTGTACGATATGTACAAGTATTTTTTCGAAAATGTTTACGGAATAGAGAATACGGAAGTTTTTTTTTACTCCATCCAAAAAGTATCGTAACGTAGGATTATTTTGACTGAAACTTCACAACACACTACGATAATTTATTTACGAAGTTCATAGAAATTAATGATTCAAATAGATTTTCTACCGACAGACAAGCAATGTAAAAAGTTTTTAAGGTAACGGTGATTTTTTTCTCGTTTTCCTTAATCGCCTGTAATATGCAAATGTATTATTAGGTTCTGATGTTATTAATTAACTTCGATGATGTAAGAAAAATCCCTTAAACCTGTGAGTTGTTTGTCAACTGTAAAATAGTTACTACTATTATTTCCTACAACACCTCACATACTTCAGAGAATACGTAACTCCTATGACGTTATTAAAGTGCATCATTAAAAATTTATATTATTGTTAAGTTCTTCATTTAATAATAATTGACCTCCATACTTATTAATTTGTTGGATTTTCCTGAATTTATGAATATCTTATAATTACGTAAAGAGGAATAATAATTAAAATAATAACAAACGGTAACATATTTGTTTTAAAGGAAAATTCAGTAAATAAATGTTAGTCAAAATACTGTAATAAACAAAAACTTTAATGAAAACATTTTATTAAACCGTAATTATCGGTCAATAACGACGAAATTTTTTTATTGGCTTCAAAAGTTCTATACGCTTTTATTATTATAAGGACAGCAAGTCGCCATAAAGAAAAGATACTTTTTAGGAAGTATGTTGTCACCGTTTTAATTGCTGATTTTATATGATTACGTAATTAATCACTTTCATTAAAGAAGAACTGTTTTATTCCCGTGTTCTTCACCAATTTGGTAACATTGACTAATTCAAGAAATGAATTAAATATTCAACTTCCTTAACAGAAACCTTTTTCATTTATGACTAAGTTCTTGATATAGCTGGCCATTTTTAAATCGTGTGAGAAAAGTTACCAAATTTTAAATCTTCTTAAAAAGAAAATAGGAAAGCAAATGTTAATGACGGGACAGTTAATAAGTATAGACTAGTGAGCCCTGTGGTTTCACCTGCGAAGCTGACTTTATTCTAAGGAATAGTGAAGCTTCCCAACAGTGAAAAACATTACCAAGTAGATATAGAGATACAAAACAAAAAATCACACTTTTACTTAAAGCAATATTAGAATATTTATATATATTAAGAAAATAGTTTCATCGATTGTTTCAGACCTACTGAAACCAGACACTTCGTGTAGCACTAACAAATAATGTTTATTACGACACTATTGATTAAAATTACTTTTTCAAAATCTTGCTAGCACTTTTTTAAAGCCGTCAAAGTACCTATAAAATTCCTTTCCGATACTTTTTCCCGCAAATAAATGTTTCGTAGTGCAACTTGACAACGGCGCCTACGCATCACCGTACCCATATCTCGTGACTCCGGCGCATTGTTCGCGACAATTATCGCGCTCATCTGCTAATACGAACAAAAGACTCGTTATTACGTATTAGAGTTTCTATCACACCATAGTGGTGAGTTAATGTTTTAATTCTATATTTAAATTGTGATTGTTGTGTTCTTATTAATATAGAATGGAATAATTCGATTTCACATAAATTTTAATCTGATGTGTACAATACTTAATTTTTTTTGATACGTTTTTTTATTTTTATTTATTGAAAATCACAACAGTGTACAGGTTTGACTGTGGTGAAATGTTCGATTTTATTTTATTAAGGGCTGATTATTCCATGTTTAGATAAAAGTTGGTTGGAGAATAATTATGATGCTGTCGCGTCTGAATGTTTGTTAAAGACAGTGACAGCAACAATTTTTTTCCCCAGATAACATTTATATGACTATTGAAATATAAGCTCAAAACAGAAAATAATTTAATTCGTCAAATCCCAAACGAACGCCGGTGTTTGCGCTCTTATTGTCTTACTATTTATTGTCTCTAATAAACACGATTGAAAGGTTAGAACTAGATTAATTAAATAAAGGATTCAAAAATACATATATAAATAAAGTATAATAAAAAAGATTTATACAGTCTATGTTTTACTGGTCTTACAGTGGGAAACATCACGATTCATGTAAGTACTATGTAAATCAAAGTAAAATAAATTTTGTTCTAACTAAACTCAATTATTCTCTTCAGTGTAACAGCGTTCCATGCGAACTTATTAACGCACAAAAAGCAATCCTTTCATAGGGAAACCTAATGTGTGCGTGTAATGTAAAATAATTCATACAAAATGAGGGGTTATTTCGAACATCCTGATATATACGATTACTGAGAAAATGTTGTTACGTTTGGCTAGAGAAAACCCCATGCAATGATAAGTCATTGTTTATGCAAATTCGTTATTCTATGGTGGCTCGTATCCGATTGTTTCTAGCTCCGTTTAAAGTTCAGAGTTCTATAGAGGACAGAGGTCGTGATTAGTAGTTCTTTACTTACTGTAACAAAAGTATTTTCCATTTTAAAGAAATTGTGCATTATTTTTATTGTATTCTGATTATATTCTGTTGCAATTATTTTAAATAAATTGAGTGACATATTTAAAAACGTCTAAAAGTTAAAATTTAATTTGTAATGTTTTCCCATTCCTGGGAAATTGCCTATTATTTCAAGTGATGCAGATTATGCACTTATTGACCTTGATAGTTAGCTATAATCACTTTCAAATGAGGAAAACAGTCCAATATTGTTCTCGGAACGGACAAAAGAAAAAGATCTAATCAAAATATCAGTCGGCGCAATCCTTCAAAAGTGACTTACGACCAAATCATAGGGGTCATTCTGTAAAAATTTACGAATGTTCAGCATACCGATTAAATAAGATTTAGTATATGATTTTTATATTTTTTGATGACTAACCCTCTAACATTTAGGAGATTAGGTTCTCGGAATTGTTCACAGGTACCCCGGCAAAGGAAATGCCAGTGGATTGCGTATACGTACACAGATATTAGGAGGTCAACAAGAGCTGTATGTGTATTGTGAAGACGTGAGGTCATGCTTAATGTAGTAAGCGTTTGATAATATATTTGGCGAATTTTTTTATCGTAATTTTTCAAAGAAATCTTACACCCACGCTTTCATTATATGTATAAGAAAATGTTCTCAGTTTAGAAATACTAGGATCTGTATTTCTTGTTATTGATTGTTAAGTAAACTTTCTTTTATGTTTCCTATCTACTACTGTAATTCCATGAGCAGTTGCAAGTTCTACTGCTGAGAAAAGGGCTTCAAGTTCTTATACTATAAAAATATTTTTAAATATAAAAAAAGTTTTGAAGTTAATATAATTAATTTCTTAATAAACATTTCAACCATTGATGTAGTATGTAGCATGTATGTAGCACACTCTACAAGGATATCCTGGCCAAACCCTTTTCCATTATTTTTAGCTCATAAATCATTGTTCTATTTTAAGCCATTCTTGTGAATCCTTATAATCCCTGGTTCTAGTAGTAACGAAGACGTCATATATGACGTAAGAATGCCTTCAACTGGTACCAGGCCAGCAGATGATTTTTTGTTAGTCATCGTACATATGTAGTATACGTGATTTTGACCAAGTTCTCCATAATTAGTTCCGTTTCAGGGGATTCAAGGAAGCCAGGCCAAAAATGTTAAATAGTATTTGAAGTATATTTATTTTGTATCTGCTGTTTGGAAATATAATAATATCGAAAAACAGTATTCACAAAGAAGTCTAGCTTTTGTGTATGTTCTTAAATCTATATACATAGGTATATAAAAGAAAGCCGTGTTAGTTACTCCACTAATAACTCAAGAAGGGCTGAACCAATTTAGCTGATAATGGCAGGGAGATAGTTTAGAGCCAGGAGAAGGACAGTAGTGTAGTGTGTAGTGTGAATAGAGTAGGTAATGTAGGTTAGGTAGAGTAGGGTAGGTAGAGTAGGGTAGGGTATGTAGTGAACGGTACATAGAGTAGGGTTGGTAGTTACTTAAGAAACTAAGAAATATTAAAAATCCTTACCTTTTTTATGAGTAGGAGGTAAACGAGCAGATAGATCGCCTGATGGACACCCCAAATATACGA